CCCACACAGGATGGTACAGAGTGGAAACAAACACTGAACACACCCCACAAGGGATGGTACGTAGTGCAGCAACAACACTGAAAAACACCAATCAAAGGGATGTTCAGTAGTGCGCCACACTGAACACACCCCTCAAGGTATGGGACAGATGCGCAACAACACGAACCACCCCTACAAGGGATGGTATCAGTAGTGAGATCAACACTAACACACCACTACAAGGTTGGTATAGTAGTGCGAAAAACAACACTGGAACAACAAAACACAAAACCCCCCTACAAGTATGGTTCATAGTGCAGCAAACCGAAACCCCACCACTACAAGGGTTGGGGATCAGTAGGCACAAAAACACGAACACACCACTACAAAGGGATGGGATCATAGTGCAGCATCAACCGAACACACCCCACAAGGGATGGTATCAGTATGCAGCATCAACACTGAAAAAACCACTACAAGGTATGGTATCAGTTGCAGCAACACACTGAACACAACTACAAGGTAGGACAGTATGCAGCAAAAAACACTGAACACCCAACAAGGGATGGTATCGTAGGCCAACAAATGAACCACCCTACAAGGGGAGGTATCATAGTGCAGCTCAAACTGAACACACCAACAAGGGAGGGGAAAAATAGTGCAGCAAAAAACACTGAACACAACACTACAAGGAGGTAATCAGTATGCAGCAACAACACTAAAAACCAACAAGGGATGGATCAGTAGTGCAGCAAAAACACTGAACCCCCACAAGGGATGGGGCAGTAGTGCAGCAACAAAACTGAACACAAACCCCACAAGGTAGGTATCATTTGTGCAGCATCAACACTGAACCCAACCACACAAGGTATGGGACATTGCAGCACAACAGAACACACCACTAAAGGGGTATCAGTAGTGCGCAACAAACCCCAAAAAACCCTTTGGAAAAACAACCACCCAAGGGATGGATCAGGTGCAAACAAAAACGAACACACCCCAAAGGTATGGTATCAGTAGTGCAGCAACAACACTGAACACACCCCTACAAGTATTATCGTAGTGCGATCAACACGAACACACCCAACAAGGGATGGTACAGTAGTGCACTCAAAACTGAAAACACCACTACAAGGGATGGATCATAGTGCACAACAACACGAACACAAACTACAAGGTTTTGGGATCAGTAGGGGGCAACAACACGAACAACCCCTACAAGGTTGGTACATATGCAGCAAAAAAACACTGAAACACCACTACAAGGTATGGTATCAGTAGTGCAGCAACAACACTGAACACACCACTACAAGGTATGGTATCAGTAGTGCAGCATCAACACTGAACACACCACTACAAGGTATGGTATCAGTAGTGCAGCATCAACAATGAACACACCATAAAGGTATGGTTCATAGGCGACAACATGACACACCCTACAAGGTTGGTATCAGTATGCACACAACACTGAACCCCACTACAAGGTATGGTAAACGTAGTGCAGCAAAAACACGAACACACACTCAAAATATGGTTCAGTAGTGCAGCAACAAAACTGAACACACCACTACAAGGGATGGTATCGTATGAGCAACAACAGAACACACCACTACAAGGTATGGTATCAGTAGTGCAGCAACAACACTGAACACACCACTACAAGGTATGGTATCAGTAGTGCAGCAACAACACTGAACACACCACTACAAGGTATGGTATCAGTAGTGCAGCAACAACACTGAACACACCACTACAAGGTATGGTATCAGTAGTGCAGAAAACACTGAACACAACCCAAGGTTGGTTTCAGTATGCAGCAACAACACTGAACAAACAATACAAGGGTTTTGGTATCATATGCAAGCAAAAAAAAAAATGAAACACCACTCAAGGATGGGATCAGTGTGCAGCAACAAACTGAAACACCATACAAAGGGATGGGATCAGTAGTGCAGCACAACACTGAACAAACCCTAAAGGTATGGGGTGTAGGGGGAGCACAACACTGAACACCACTCAAGGTTGGATCAGTTGCAGCAACAACACTGAAAACACCACCAAGTAGGTTCAGTATGCAGCACAAAACGAAACCCCCCAAAAAGGGAATTTTTCCCCCAAAAAACAAAAACAAAATTTAAATTTCCCCAACCCTGGGAAAAAAAAAGGAGGTTCTGTCCAAAAAAACCCCCCTTTTTAAAAAATTTTAAAAAAAACCCCCCCTTTTTGGGGAAACGGTTTTTTAGGGGGGAAGCCCCCCCCCTTTTTTTCTTATAACCCAAACCCCCTTTTTCCCTTTTTTTTTAAAAAAAATTTTTAAAAATTTCCCCCAAATTTTTAAAAGGGGGGTTTTTTATTGTATTTTATGAAAACAAATTTGAAAAGGGGCCGGTTAAAGAAAATTTTTAAAGGGGGTTTGTGTTTTTTTGGTTTAAGGGCCGGGGAAAATTTAAAAAGGGGGTTTTTTGGGTTTTTTAAACCTTGCTAAGATTTAAAACCCCCGGGGAAGGCCCAAAGGGGTTAAGGAATTCCAAGCTTTAAAGGGAATTTAATTTGGTTAAAAAGATTTTTTTTATCAAGTTAAGCCCTGGGAAAAATATTTTTAAATTTTTTAAATTAAAAAAGAAAATGTTTTTAAAGGGTTTTGTTTTTCTTTAAGTAAAAACCCCCCGGGGGGGCCCTCAAAAAGTTTCACAAGGTTTTCGGGGTCCCCCTTTTCCCCGGGATTCGGCCCCCCGGGTTTCCGGTTGTTGGATATTTTTTTAAATTTATTTTTTTAGGGGGAAAGTTTGGCCCCCCCCTGGTCCTCCCCCTGTTTGGTTTTTAAAGGGTTCCCCTTTTTTTTAAATTACAAGGGGGAAAATAACTGGGAAAAAAACAAAGAAAAACCCGGGGTTTTTAAAATTTGATTTAAATTTTTCCGCAAAAAACCCCCAAAAAGGGGTTTTTTTTGGGTTTACCCCTTTTTGATAAATAAATTTTGCCCCAAAACATTGGTTTCCTTTTAAAAAAAATTTATTAAAAAAAAATTTTAAAAAAAAATTTTTTTTAAAAAAATCTTTTTGGGGATTTTAAAAATATGCATTAAAAAAAACCCAAAAATTAATTTTAAAAAAAACCCGAAAAAAAATAAAAAGGGGTTTTTTGAAAATTCTTGGGGGTTTTTTGTCAAAAACGAAACCCCCCCCAAAAACTGGGAAAAAAAAATTTTTCAAAAATTGACATAAAACCCCAATGGCAAAAAAGGGTAAATTTGGATTTAAAACCAAAAAAACCCCAAAGGTTTGGGAAAAAAAAAACACCTTTGGGGGGGCTTACCTAAAAAAAAAATTGGGGGGAAAAAAAAAAAAAATTTTTTTCGACAAAAAATTTTGGGAAAAAACCCCATTGGGGGGGGGCCCCAAAAATTTTTGGGGGCGATCAGGGTAAATGCCCCCCGGGGTTTTTAAATTATTAATAACAAATAAAAAATTTTATTTAAAAAAAAAATAAACAACTAAAATTTTGTAAATGGCCCCAAAATAAAAACCCCAAATTTTTATTAGAGGAGAACAAAAAACATGTTAATACGTCTATAAGAGAGAATTCGTAGTTTGGAAGTTAGGAGGAGGTGCGGGATTACCAAAACTGTTGTCCAGAGGGCTGAGGAAGGGTTGTTGAGGTGGTTCGGACATGTAGAGAGAATGGAGCGAAACAGTGTGACTTCAAGAGTGTATCAGTCTGTAGTGGAAGGAAGGCGGGGTAGGAGTCGGCCTAGGAAAGGTTGAAGAGAGGGGGTAAAGGAGATTTTGTGTGCGAGGGGCTTGGACTTCCAGCAGGCATGCATGAGCGTGTTTGATAGGAGTGAATGGAGACAAATGGTTTTTAATACTTGACGTGCTGTTGGAGTGTGAGCAAAGTAACATTTATGAAGGGGTTCAGGGAAACCGGCAGGCCGGACTTGAGTCCTGGAGATGGGAAGTACAGTGCCTGCACTCTGAAGGAGGGGTGTTAATGTTGCAGTTTAAAAACTGTAGTGTAAAGCACCCTTCTGGCAAGACAGTGATGGAGTAAATGATGGTGAAAGTTTTTCTTTTTCGGACCACCCTGCCTTGGTGGGAATCGGCCAGTGTGATAATAATAAAAATAAACGTCTATAAGATACCCAGATGCTGCATATGTGTTTAATTCGTCATGGAGAGATGTGTCTCAATCAGAGTATATTACACCTGCAATCAATAGGCCTTAAACCTAACAAGCTGACTTGTTACGTATCCAGTGTACAGTGCTGTTTGTGATTCTAAGCGAACGCGAATCTCCATCACTGACCACAATGTTAGCATGTGTGTGTCTGTTATGTGGTGCACGCCATCAATCTTCGCCATAAAGAGCACCGCTTCCAGCAGTGTTCTTTGAGGGATTCCGCAACATTCTGGATAATCTCCAATCAATTTTGACAAACCTACTTTTAGGCAGAATGTGATTAAAGGGCTTAAGACATCTGGAAATATAGATTTACTTATTATGAAGATCTCTTGAAAAGAAATCAGTATTATCATCATTATATGGAAATTTTACGAGGTTTAATATTTTCGGGCCGTCACTGGAGTAGAAGAGGAAAAAAACTTGAAGTTTGTGGTAAGCTCTGGATGTTGTGGCCTCACTAGGTTACTTCTAGACTGTTTCACCACCACCATCTGTGCTCTTCATAATTGGAGTTGAACGACAAAATGCGAACTATCGATCAGTCTTTAATTTATTTTATTTGTTCAACAAACATGTAGGCTGATTGTGTATCCTTTGAGTGCTGTATGGGTTGCTTTTATTATCTGGTAGTTTTCCATTATTTATCATGTTTTTATGCGTCTTTCTCGGTGTGTCCTTGCTTATGTCCCTGTATATGTGCCTTCATGTGTCCGTGCGTGTCTCACTGTATCGCTGGTAGGAAGATTACATAGTTGGTAGGAAAATCACTGTAATATGTGAAGCGCAATAATGGTGTTGTCCATCGTGGCGACGAATATAACAAGGAAAGCCGTCTTCAGACCCACAGTAAGGAGTTGGAGAGCTTGCGTGAGGAGATGACGGAGGTGAAGAGGGAAGCAGAGAAGAAAGTGGAAGAGGCGGTGCAGAAGGAGCAGGACAAAGGTCAGTGTGATATGGCTTTATCATGAATTTCCGAGTATTGCCCTCTTGTTTAGCATCTTGAAATATTGACCTCACCATTGCGTGGGATAATCAACTGAGCGTGATAACATTAATGAGATACATATCTCTTTGTTTATGCTTGAATTATTGTGCGTTTGTGATGGGTGTATGCAGCGAAGGCAGCAGCAGCAGCAGCGGCTGAGGCACTGAAAGAAAGGGAGGAACAGTTGGCCACTGTGAAACTTGACCTCGCAGATGTGCGAGAGAAACAACTGCAGGTGCTGAGGGAACTACGTGTGAAGGTGAGTGACAGGTGAACCACATACGGCAGGCATTTGACTCCACCACCACATCCCTGTCTTTCTCTGTGCACTGAGATTACTTTAGCAATATGCCATTTATGTGACAATTACCCTGTGTCTATCCCAGTACGACTCTGTGTTTAGTGAACCACTAATCGGTCTGAGGATCGACGACCCAAATGATTTCTTCATGAATGAGCCTCAAAACTCCGTAAATGTATGCCAGATTTCCGATATTACCCTAACTCCGATAGATTTCGAAAAAGTCATTGACAATATGCCCATGCACTCAGCCCCGGGCCCAGACTCGTGGATCTCTGTTTTCTTTAAGAACTGCAAGAAACCCCTCTCGCGTGCCCTAAGTACACTATGGAGGAGGAGCTTGGACATGGGTGAAATTCCACAGTCACTTAAAACAACGGATATAGCCACACTCCATAAAGGTGGCAGCAAAGCATTAGCTAAGAACAATAGACCAATAGCTCTGACGTCCCCCCAAACATAAAAACCTTTGAAAGAGTGCTAAGAAGCAGGATTGCAAATCACCTGGATTCCCAAAATCTGCACAATCCAGGGCAACTTTGGGGTTTTGGGCAGGTCGCTCCTGCCTCACAACTACTGGATCACTAAGATATGGCCTTGGATGCACTGGAAGAAAATCAGAATGCAGATGTAATATACACAGACTTTGCAAAATCATTTGACAAATGCGATCATGGCGTAATAGCCCATAAAATACGTGCTTAAAGGAATAACTGGGAAAGTGGGAGATGGATCTTCAACTTCCCAACAAATCGAACACAAAGAGTAGTGGTCAGCAGAGTTAAATCGGAGGCTGCCATAGTGAAGCGCTCTGTTCCACAAGGCACAGTACTCGCCCCCATCTTATTCCTTATCCTCATATCAGACATAAACAGAGATATACACCACAGCACCGTATCATCTTTTGCGGATTTATACTAGGATCTGCATGAGGCTGTCATCTGCTGAGGACGCGGGTTAACCTCCAAGAAGATATAAAAAAGTTTTCCAGTGGGCACGGAAACAATATGATTTTTCAATGAGGACAAATTCCAACTACTCCGTTATGGGAAAAATGGAAGAGATAATAACTAGAACAGAGTATACTACGACTCCGGCCATACAATAGAGCGGAAAATAATGTAAGGGACCTGGGGGTTTGTAATGTCTGAGGATCTCACTTTCAAGGATCACAAAAATGCCCACGATCGCACGTGCAAAGAAAATGATAGATGGATAATGAGAACGTTCAAAACGAGAGATGCCAAGCCAATGATGATCCTTTTCAAATCACTTGTTCTCTCTAGGCTGGAATACTGCTGTACATTAACATCTCCATTCAAAGCAGGTGAAATCGCAGATCTAGAGAGTGTACAGAGATCCTTTACATGCACGTATAAGTTCTGTCAAGCCCTTAACTACGGGGAAACGCTTGGAAGCACTTGACTTTACTCGTTGGAACGCAGGAGGGAGAGATATATCTAATTACACTTGGAAAATCTGAAGGAATGGCCCCCAAATCTGCACACAGAAATCACTCCCTACGAAAGAAAAGACGGGGCAGCGATGCAAAATGCCCCCAAAAAAAAAGTAGGGGCGCCTTTGGGTTTAACAATAAGGGAAAACACCATAATGTCCGGGGCCCAAGACTGTTCTACAGCCTCCCATCAAGCATTAGGGGAATTGCCAATAAACCCCTGGCTGCCTTCAAGAGAGAGCTGGACAGATACCTAAAGTCAGTGCCGGATCAGCCGGGCTGTGGCTCGTACGTTGGACTGCGTGCGGCCAGCAGTAACAGCCTAGTTGATCAGGCCCTGATCCATCGGGAGGCCTGGTCATGGACCGGGCCGCGGGGGCGTTGATCCCCGGAATAACCTCCAGGTAATCCAGGTAATCATTGCTTTGTAGCTCCTTGATATGTGGTCACACAGTTCCTCTGCTCCACACATTACCCAGTGTAATATATTTGGTCTCGCTCCTTTGTATTTAATTCCTTTAAGAGCCTTCTCACTTTATTGTTGTAACTTCATCTCATCTTTATTACTCTTTTTTTTCTTTCTCCCTTGTCCATTCAGTGCGGACAAGTCTTTGGGGTAACCAGCACACAGGATCGTCATATTTTCAAAACTCCACGTATGTTTTGTCAGTAGTTCCACCCTCTTCCTTTGTCTTGTTTCACTGTGGTATACCTTGTTTCACAGTATGGTATACCTTGTTTCACAGTGTGGTATACCTTGTTTCACAGTGTGGTGTACCTTGTTTCACAGTGTGGTGTACCTTGTTTCACTGTGGTATACCTTGTTTCACAGTGTGGTATACCTTGTTTCACAGTGTGGTATACCTTGTTTCACTGTGGTTTTTACTTGTTTCACAGTGTGGTATACCTTGTTTCACTGTGGTATACCTTGTTTCACAGTGTGGTATACCTTGTTTCACAGTGTGGTATACCTTGTTTCACAGTGTGGTATACCTTGTTTCACTGTGGTATACCTTGTTTCACAGTATGGTATACCTTGTTTCACTGTGGTATACCTTGTTTCACAGTGTGGTATACCTTGTTTCACAGTATGGTATACCTTCACAGTATGGTATACCTTGTTTCACTGTGGTATACCTTGTTTCACAGTATGGTATACCTTGTTTCACAGTATGGTATACCTTGTTTCACTGTGGTATACCTTGTTTCACAGTGTGGTATACCTTGGAAAATGCCGTCAACTTCATTTTCACTATACATATTATATCTGGTTTTCTTTTTGATATTCTCGTTTTAATCTCACGCCTCTTGACTTTTTTTTTCTCATGGCTCTTGTTTCTGATGCTGTCTACATTTATGTACAAAACGTTTATTCTTTTGTTTATCTCTGTTTTTGTTTTGTGTGTGTGTATGTACGTATGTATCTGTACCTTTTCGGTGGCTGTAGATGTTCATATAGATACACAGGATTTTTTTTACCCTTGGGTATACTGTGTCTAAGGTTTTTATGGTTAATAATGGTGGTATTTCCTTCTCACCCTCTTCTCCTACACCTTAGCACCACGACGAGATGGAGAAGTTACGAGGTCGTCTGTCAAGGATGCAGCAGTCTCTCTCCTCACGCGCTACCTCGGATATGGACCTTGTTGCTAACGTGAGTGCAGCAACACTTCCTTCACCTCAATAAACCCAGAACACTTCCTTAAAATGCCACCCACAGTAGCTGATCAACTCTTAGGTATCTATTAAACCACAGTGTTAGGTGAACAGGGGCAATAGGCATAAGGACACTTGTTCAAATACTTCGTTTCGCCCGGGAGCCGAATCCCAACGTTTACGGTTGTGAGCCGACTGCTCTACCACTCAAGAGTGAACCTTCTCTACCCACTCCATCACCACTACCAACACTTTTCATTATACCCAGTGCCCACACTACCACAACTACCCTGACCACCTTTACGACCCACGCTATCACCAGTAACTACGTTTCCACCTTAACAACCTCCACTACCACTGCCTGCATCTCCACACCGCGCTTCCATCCACGATGACGCTAGTGAAGGGCTCTTTTTCTAGGTGAATGGATCTATGCTCCAGTTCCCTGAATTCAGCCTGAACAGTTTCCGTCACCCACCCCCACAGGCGCTGTATAATCCCTATGGGTCTAGCGCTCCCCATGATGATGATGATAATAATAATAATAATAATAATAATAATAATAATAATAATCCACATCCTGAAAAGACAATACGGTTGTCTCATATTTAACTGCTACAACAACTGCTACTACTACTACTACTGCCAGCACTACCACCACCACTACTACTACTATTATTACTACTACTACTATTACTACTACTATTACTACCACCACCACCACCATCTCTATTGCTACTGCTGCTTTCAAATTGCAATTGTAATGCATTACCTTGCTGTACAACCTTCAGTGTGTCAGGCGCAGTAATGACCATTGACCTTCCTTTATAAAGCAGTGTTCTCATTTAATAAATCAGTTATATTGTGATTTTTTTTCCACAAGCTAATACAAGGTCCCCCATATAAAGCGGTTGTTGCATGTTTATAGCACTGAATAAAGTACGTTCAAAATTAAACGGCAGATGAAAGGGGCTTCATAGTACGTGTTGGTCAAATTTGCAGGCATTTTTTTGCATCTCATTTGAAAAAAAAAATATCCTTCTAAACAGATAAGCTATGTTTGAAAGGGATTGATGATGAGTTAAGTTGTTAAGTATCTGCTGTCCAGCTTGGCTAACAACCCAGTTAGAAAAGACTTAGATTGTACTTAGATTGATGCGAGATGTGCGGAGAACCGAGTCTTTGTCGTCCACAGAAGCTGCAAGCTACGAGGGCCGAGTACCAGGAGCAGTTGCGGGAGCGCCAGGCACGAGTGACGCAGCTGGAGGAGGAGCTGCAGCAGGCACGGGACACCCTGCGGCACCACCAGCTGCTGAGTGTGGTAAGAGGCGTGGCTACATCAGCGCCTGCTGCCACGCCCACGCCCACGCCCACGCCCGCTTCCTCACCACTACACATTACATTCTGTGCGGTAGATGACATAGCAGGTAGGTCCCGTGGTTGATGCAGTTTTCGTGGGGAAGTGCTAACTCCTTATGGGACATAGAGGACCTGAACAGTGATCAGTTTTGAATCAAGGGAGAGTATACAGTACTATTACAACCCAGGATCCAAATGGCCTGTTACCCCGGGTGTAATGGGAGCAAAAGAAACACAGCAGAAAAAGTTTAGACTTATATTATCCTTCACCAATTTAGAACAGCAATATGTACACTATGTACAGTAATAAGTATAGTGCACGTCACGGTAAGCAAGGCAGAAATAGAAGCCACAAGATAGCAGACCGTGCTCAACCAGCTCTAGAATGGGAATGACAAGGGCAGACAGGAGAGCGGTATCCACATAACCTCTGCGATTGCCAATCCCACCTTCTTATTGGCTAGAACCTGGTCACTAGTTGAACGATGGGGCCCCATCACCAACTCTTAGCAACCTGGTTCGCTGGTTGGGGGAGATAGCCTGTAAATGAGGGTGTGTCCATGCGCCGAATAAAGGTTACGTACTCTTTGCATGCCACAAGTACTGACAAGTTGAGAAGACGCGTGCAGCAGTTAGGTATCTTTACTCCGAAACGTTTTGCCTACATAGAAGGCTTCTTCAGTCGAGTACAGAGGAGGTAGTAGAAGCAGTGGAGATGTGAAGACAATATAATCAGTCCATCACCCTTGAAGATGTAGTTTTAAGGTGGTGAGTCCCTCAGCCTGGCTGAGGGACTCACCACCTCAACTGCTTCTGCTTCCTCTGCACTCGACTGAAAAAACCTACTGTGTAGGAGAAACGTTTCTGAATAAAGACACCTACCTGTTGCACACATGTCTTACTCATAACATTACAGCGCAATATTACACGTCCTCTTTTATTTCTCCGTAACTTACCTTTATATTTTTTTCATGTTAATGTCCAGGGTTTATTACCTGGACCTCAGCAATGAGAGTCGCTACTCTCACCGCTGGGCAACGACGACCTTTATAATCTGAGAATGACTCGTCCGATCGTCTTCAAATTTTCACCGCTGTTGAATATTACTTAGAGGTGGATTGATTTTTGGCCATTTTTATTGACATTAGGATATTTGTTTCCATACGTTAACCTGTGTATGTCTCTTCTGAGACTCTTCATATCTCACTGCTAATATTTAGCTACTCTACATCAGAAACTTACATCACCTCTGTACTATATTCCTTTTCGAGTGCATTGAGGTAGAGGAAACTGGGATTATTGGATACGGGGCTGCCTTCCTCAGATCGCACAACCACCAACGCACAGTTAGTTATGTGAAGCACTAAACTTGTGTGGATAAGTCAGTACAAGGGTTAGTGGAGGTTCCTTCATTCTCTCCCAGTCGGACTTGTCCCTCCTCTTCCTACAGCAGAAGCAGCGCAGTGATACTATGTCGCAGTGATACTGTGCCCAAGTCTGTTAAATAATGGTGTCAGTATCGTACTGTCATGTTATTGTGCATTGATCAAAATATAGGTTGTCCATACTACCTCCATAGGGCATTTTAGAACATTAGATTTTGCCGCCGAAGCTGTTAGTTTGTTGTGCACCCCATATCCATCCTGTGAACGGTAGAGCAAGAACATATGGATACACAAAAGGCCTAGGAATGTCAACCTAACGAGACTGATCTGTCTTTACCACTTACAGGTAAGAGTGAGGAAGGTGGGGATTTAAACGGTGAATGCAGTAGTGAGCACGGAGCAGGTGTGAGCTCTGGCAGAGCAGGTGTGAGTTCTAGTGAAGCAGGTGTGAGTTCTAGCGTGACCCGGAGACCGGCACACAACCGCACTAAGCCCGTGCCTCGGGCTCACAACACCTGCCCTCCAATTAAATCCAACACACTAACCAAGCTGGGAAACAAGCGCAAACTGTACTCTGGCAAGTCCTTCCTCCAGGAGGAACAAGACGAACTGCTGCAACCCTAGACGGATTACCCTCATAACGATTGCAGACTCTTGGGGTAACAAACTGAACTTAAGAATGACAAGAGTGAACCTATGGGTGACAACCGGAACCTGTGTGGCAAAGGGTGAAGCACACTGCCCAGTGCATGAAATTTGTTAGACATTCTATTAAACTTATTTAGCTAAACAAGTCAAAATTTTTATTTTGGAAACTTTTTATACAAAATTTCTTTTTTTATATTTTGATCATTTTTACTTTCCCATTACAACATTTTTTTTTTGTCTTGAAAATGGCGTTTGCCACTATTGAACACTAACCTCGAATCAGAGCTGATCAGTTAGAAATTACTCATTTTAGAAATTACTCATTTTTATGTTACTTTGATGAATACTGTCTTCAGTTTTGAAGTAATTTGCAATAAAATTATCACTTTATTTTATATATTCTTCTCCATTATTTCACAATACTTTGATTAGTTTTTAAGATTTTTTTTTTAATTTACATATTAATAATGCTGTATGAAATATTACTGATGAGTTGTTGATTTATAGTCCATACTTAAAATGCAGGATTTTGTGTTTGTTTTATCAAAGTGAACAGTGAAAATTCACTATAATTCTTGTGTGTCAGCCTTCATTATTGTTTAGCTGACACACTTGAGTACTGATGCTGACATCAATGTCTGTCAGCTGTACTTTGTTGCCCTTTGTATAAATTGATGAATAACATAACGCGTTTTACACACACACACACACACACACACACACACACACACACACACACACCACACACACACACACACACACCCAGAAATCTGCTGCAGCATATGGGCGCCTGGCAAACCTGAGAATAGCGTTCCGATACCTCATTAAGAAATCGTTCAAGACTGTACACCGTGTACGTCAGGCCCAGACTGGAGTTTGCAGCACCAGTTTGGAACCCACACCTAGCCAAGCACGTAAAAAAATTTAAGAAAGTGCAAAGGTTTGCAACAAGGCTAGTTCCTACGAAGAAAGGTTAAGGGAAATCGGTCTGACGACACTGGAGGACAGGAGGGTCAGGGAAGACATGATAACATACAAAATACTGCGAGGAATTGACAAGGTGGACAGAGACAGGATGTTCCAGCGATGGGACACAGAAGCAAGGGGAAATTGAAGACTCCGATGAGTCAAAGGGATGTTAGGAAGTATTTCTTTAGTCATAGAGTTGTCAGGAAGTGGAACAGTCTGGCAGGTAACGTAGTGGAGGCAGGAACCATACATAGTTTTAAGACGAAGTTTGATAAAGCGCATGAAGCAGGGAGAGTGGACCTAGTAGCGATAAGTGAAGAGGCGAGGCCAGGAGCTATGACTCTGCCCCTGCAACCACAAGGAATCTTTCAAGACACTGTACACCGGGCACGTCAGGCCCATACTGGAGTATGCAGCACCAGTTTGGAACCCGCACCGGGTCAAGCACGTTAAGAAATTAGTGTGCAAAGGTTTGCGACAAGGTTAGTTCCAGAGCTAAGGGGAATGTCCTACGAAGAAAGGTTAAGGGAAATCGGCCTGACGACACATAGAGGACAGGAGGGTTAGGGGAGACATGATAACGACATACAAAATACTGCGTGGAATAGACAAGGTGGACAGAGACAAGATGTTTCAGAGAGGGGACACAGAAACGAGGGGTCACTTTTGGAAGTTGAAGACGCAGATGAGTCAGAGGGATGTTAGGAAGCAGTTCTTCAGTCATAGAGTGGTCAGGAAGTGGAACAGTCTGGCGAGTGATGTAGTGGAGGCAGGAACCATACATAGATTTAAGATGAGGTATGATAAAGCTCAGGAAGCAGGGAGAGGACCTAGTAGCGTTCAGTGAAGAGGCGGGGCCAGGAGCTGAGTTTCGACCCCTGCAACCACAATTAGGTGAGTACACACACACACACACACACACACAATGTCGTGCCGAATAAGTAAAACTTGCGATTTTGGCTTAAATAGCAATGCACTTCTTGCCGAATAGAGCAAGCGAAAATTTGTGTATGCAATTATAATTTCGCAAATTTTTTTTTTTTTATTCGCCGGTATTCTCCCGTCCCGGATCTTTTCTTGAGACACTCCCCTATCTGGGGAGTGTCTCGAGACCTAAGTCTCGCATGGGAGGAGGTACAAGTACCCTGTCATCTTTGGGACCAAGTGTCCCCAGGCCTAGCCACAGTCCCCGCCCTCACGTGGCTCGCAGGGGAAGCTAGGCCTCTGGTCTGCCATCTGCCCCGCCCCACAAAGGGGCTCGTGGGGATGGCAGTCTTGTGAGCTGCAGGTGGTAGCAAGCTCAGGCCATTCCGTACAAAAAATCCTTCTGAATCTAACGAAAAAAATATATTTCATTGTGTTTATTTTTAAATTATCGTTAACTTATATAAAATACATATAGTTGGATTAGGCTAAATTAAACTGCGCTTGTTATAATAAGGTTAGGTAACGTTCCTAAGCTTCTTTTGTTACAAAAATCATTATTTTTTATATGTATATAAATGAAAAAAATGTCTTTAAATGTATAAGACAAAATTTTAGAAAGGACTTAATTTTAAATGAGCTCTTGCTAATTGACCAGTTTTACCTGTTCGGCACGAATTATATATATAATATATATAAATATATATATATAATATATAATATAATATATATATATATTATATATATATATATATATATATAAATATATATAAAATATATATATATATAATATATATATATAATATAATATAATATATATATATATATATATATATATATATATATATATATATATATATATATATATATATACATATATATATATATATATACATATATATATATATACACATATATATATACACACATATATATATACACACATATATATATACACATATATATATATACATATATATATACACATAATATACACACATATATATACACATATACACATATATATATACACATATATATATACACACATATATATATATACACATATATATATACATACATGAGGTGTACGTAATTTCAACATTTTCTTGGCTTGTGGATTTACGGCAGTTTCATTCAGTCTACCTCACTAAACGTCTAGTTTTCTTTCTCTGTTTCGTAGAAAATGTTTTGGCACAGACCCGAGACTGATATTTTTTTGTTTCTATTTGCCTAGTAAGATGAATCTTATTGTGGCTAGCTGGTCTAGTGGTTAGCGCGACGGGCTGGAGTTTTGAGACTCTATGACCGCGGGTTCAATCCCGGCCGGGGGTATGGTTTATTTGCAATCGTGTCATTACGATTTCTTAAGTCATGTGTAAGTTACCTAGGGTAACCCAAAAAGTCAGAGTGACCTATGGAATCCAGTGGAGTCCTTGTAATGCTCTTAAGTTACAGTAGAAATAAGTCATGATTATAACCTTAAAAATAAAGCAACTAAGTAAATCTGTGTGAAAATCAGTTACAGTATAAGATGCTTTAGGAATAAAGTGAACCGAGTTATTTACATGAACACTAAAGAGATTATAAGGTTACAATAATAGGTACATCAATGTTAACTATACGAGACGTCACTCTCCTCCCTTTCTGTAGCTTCATTCTTTAGGTACCTTTTAGCTCTCTTCCTGCACTGGCTAATGCTAGGACAGGATTACCTACACATGTCAACAATCCGTTCCACTCTTTTATTGGTGTATAGTAGTAGGTGTTTGAGGCCTGTGTAGGTACTACAAAATTGTGTTCACTTTCCCTTGTACCATACTAATTTTGGCTCTTAACCTTGAAAAACTTAGCAGCAAGATATTCTGGACACTGCCTGTGAGCAATTTTATAAACATGAAGGGCTCTTGATCCAAGGAATTTGGAGCTATCATTCTTTTGCTTCGTTCAGTCCTGGGCGAGGTAGAACGTACTGCCAAGTGTCTTTAACACCAACTGGTCTTCTTCACCTAGTAGTCAGTAGGTACCTGTGAGTTACTCAGACGGGTATGGGTCACATGTTCTGAAGAGAGAACCTATGGACCCTAATAATATACATAAGCTACACTGGCTTTCTTGTATTATTAACCTTCCGAGTTAATAATCCGAGAACGGCCTTCTAGAAGCGAAGGAGAAAACAGACAATGTACCCCCCTTCCCTCACCCTGTGAACATAGCTAGCTTTTGTTCCCACTATATAAGCACCATATAAAATAGTGTACAGCACACTCTGGACGTATCCAATTTTGTATCATTTATCATACTACTATTAATAATAATAATGTTTTTAACCGAAAATTAGGAGAAGCACTGTATGGGGTCATACAGTGCCACGGAGAATGGAAGACATTCAGGCTTGATTCAAGGAATTTGAGCATTGGTCAAATTCCTTAGATCAAGAGCCCATCACTAACAACATGGAACCTTGAAGGGCATACTTTCAGTAAGGCAGACAGGCCGATGAAACACTTATATGATACACTGGATATAATGAACGTTGGAAAAAGTAATGTAGATAATCATCTACTGTGGCTGGGGACGTCATCCACTGGGGATGGAGCCGGGGACGTCATCCACTGGGGATGGACCCGGGGGCGTCTTCCACTGGGACTGGCTGGGTTTTCTCTTCCCAGGCTTGCCATTAGTGATATCCTTTTTTGCACGCACAGGGTTCACACATCGTGACATTGTAACTGCAAATCAGGTTGATAATCGTTGCATCAACCTTGGCAGGTGTGTATTACAAGTACGTGCCAGAGTTGTTTCCATTATAAGGTGCTAGTGAAGTGAAACCGAAGTTGAGGAATGATAGAGAAGCGTGACACGAAGTTGATGTTTCAATACAAGTGTTAGTGTGTGATGTTCAAAGTACAACTTATTTCGGAGGATTACACTGGAACTTTAGTCTAGGGAAGTTCCCTGATGTAAAAACTCCCCTAAGGCGGTATATAACCTCCACGGGTTTAGAGCTTCCCCCTTAATGTAAGTTAAAATACAGTAAAACTTTAAACCTGGTCTCCAAACAGTTCCCGAGGTTCAGTTTTACCATACACTGCTGGTACTGCATAATGAATGCGCTCCCAGGAGTCTTTTGACAAAACTGTATTTTTTTTAGCTTAGTAAACGTGTTCTTATGGTGCTTACTTAATATCCAGTAAGTTATTGTCTTGTCTAGAATGCAATTCTGTAAGCATCGTTGTTTGGCAGTGAATTTGTAAGTACTGTAGCGAGGTTAGTTGCCATTTTGTCCTCGGTACATGTCGATTAGACACTAGGCCTGTTGTATATGCGTGCGTGTTACACTGTGTGTGTATGTGGGTGTTACACTGTGTGTATGTGGGTGTTACACTGTGTGTATGTGGGTGTTACACTGTATGTGGGTGTTACACTGTGTGTATGTGGGTGTTACACTGTGTATGTGGGTGTTACACTGTGTATGTGGGTGGTACACTGTGTAT